ACAGACACACACAGACACATAGAGACGTTCAGACACAGATGTGCAGACACACACACACATAGAGACGTTCAGACACAGATGTACAGACACACAGACACATAGAGACGTTCAAACATAGACAGATGTACAGACACACAGACGCATAGAGACGTTCAGACACAGATGTGCAGACACACACAGACACATTGAGACGTTCATACACAGACAGATGTGCAGACACACATAGGCACATAGAGACGTTCAAACACAGACAGATGTACAGACACACACAGACACATAGAGACTTTCAGACACAGATGTGCAGACACACAGACACATAGAGACGTTCAGACACAGATGTACAGACACACACAGACACATAGAGACGTTCAAACACAGATGTGCAGACACACAGACACATAGAGACGTTCAAACACAGACAGATGTACAGACACACACAGACACATAGAGACGTTCACACACAGACAGATGTACAGACACACACAGACACATAGATACGTTCAAACACAGACAGATGTACAGACACATAGAGACGTTCAAACACAGACATATGTACAGACACACACAGATACATAGAGACGTTCAAACACAGACAGATGTACAGACACACAGACACATAGAGACGTTCAGACACAGATGTGCAGACACACACAGACACATAGAGACGTTCAGACACAGATGTACAGACACACACAGACACATAGAGATGTTCAGACACAGACAGATGTACAGACACACACAGATACATAGAGACGTTCAAACACAGACTGATGTACAGACACACACAGATACATAGAGACTTTTAGACACAGATGTATAGACACATAGAGACGTTCAAACACAGAGAGATGTACGGACGCACAGAGACACATAGAGAAGTTCAGACACAGAATGTACAGACACACTCAGACACATAGAGACGTTCAAACACAGACAGATGTACGGACGCACAGAGACACATAGAGAAGTTCAGACACAGATGTACAGACACACACAGATACATAGAGACTTTTAGACACAGATGTACAGACACATAGAGACGTTCAAACACAGACAGATGTACAGACACACACAGACGCATAGAGACGTTCAGACACAGATGTACAGACACACACAGACACATAGAGACGTTCAAACACAGACAGATGTACAGACACACACAGACGCATAGAGACGTTCAAAGACAGACAGATGTACAGACACACACAGACACATAGAAACATTCAAACACAGACAGATGTACAGACACACACAGACACATAGAGACGTTAGACACAGATGTACAGACACACTCAGACACATAGAGACGTTCAAACACAGACAGATGTACAGACACACACAGACACATAGAGACGTTCAAACACAGACATATGTACAGACATACACAGACACATAGAGACGTTCAAACACAGACAGATGTACAGACACACACAGACACATAGAGACGTTCAGACACAGATGTACAGACACACACGGACACGTAGAGACGTTCAAACACAGACAGATGTACAGACACACACAGACACGTAGAGACGTTCAAACACAGACAGATGTACAGACACACACATATGCATAGAGACGTTCAAACACAGACAGATGTACAGACACACACAGACACATAGAGACGTTGAGACACAGACACATGTACAGACACACACAGACACATAGAGACGTTCAAACACAGATGTGCAGACACACACAGACACATAGAGACGTTCAAACACAGACAGATGTACAGACACACACAGACACATAGAGACGTTCAGACACAGATGTACAGACACACACAGACACATAGAGACGTTCAGACACAGATGTGCAGACACATACAGACATATAGAGACATTTAGACACAGACACATGTACAGACACACACAGGCAAATAGAGACGTTCAGACACAGACAGATGTACAGACACACACAGACACATAGAGACATTTAGACACAGACAGATGTACAGACACACACAGACACATAGAGACGTTCAGACACAGATGTGCAGACACACACAGACACATAGAGACGTTCAGACACAGATGTACATACACACACAGACACATAGAGACGTTCAAACTCAGACAGATGTACAGACATACACAGACACATAGGGACGTTCAGACACAGATGTGCAGACACACACAGACACATAGAGACGTTCAAACACAGACAGATGTACAGACACACAGACACATAGAATTGTTCAGACACAGATGTGCAGATACACACAGACACATAGAGACGTTCAGACACAGATGTGCACAGACACACAGACACATAGAGATGTTCAAACACAGATGTGCAGACAAACACAGACACATAGAGACGTTCAAACACAGATGTACAGACACACACAGGCACATAGAGACGTTCAAACACAGACAGATGTACAGACACACACAGACACATAGAGACGTTCAAACACAGACATATGTACAGACATACACAGACACATAGAGACGTTCAAACACAGACAGATGTACAGACACACACAGACACATAGAGACGTTCAGACACAGATGTACAGACACACACGGACACGTAGAGACGTTCAAACACAGACAGATGTACAGACACACACAGACACGTAGAGACGTTCAAACACAGACAGATGTACAGACACACACATATGCATAGAGACGTTCAAACACAGACAGATGTACAGACACACACAGACACATAGAGACGTTGAGACACAGACACATGTACAGACACACACAGACACATAGAGACGTTCAAACACAGATGTGCAGACACACACAGACACATAGAGACGTTCAAACGCAGACAGATGTACAGACACACACAGACACATAGAGACGTTCAGACACAGATGTACAGACACACACAGACACATAGAGACGTTCAGACACAGATGTGCAGACACATACAGACATATAGAGACATTTAGACACAGACACATGTACAGACACACACAGGCAAATAGAGACGTTCAGACACAGACAGATGTACAGACACACACAGACACATAGAGACATTTAGACACAGACAGATGTACAGACACACACAGACACATAGAGACGTTCAGACACAGATGTGCAGACACACACAGACACATAGAGACGTTCAGACACAGATGTACATACACACACAGACACATAGAGACGTTCAAACTCAGACAGATGTACAGACACACACAGACACATAGGGACGTTCAGACACAGATGTGCAGACACACACAGACACATAGAGACGTTCAAACACAGACAGATGTACAGACACACAGACACATAGAATTGTTCAGACACAGATGTGCAGATACACACAGACACATAGAGACGTTCAGACACAGATGTGCACAGACACACAGACACATAGAGATGTTCAAACACAGATGTGCAGACAAACACAGACACATAGAGACGTTCAAACACAGATGTACAGACACACACAGGCACATAGAGACGTTCAAACACAGACAGATGTACAGACACACACAGACACATAGAGACGTTCAAACACAGACACATGTACAGACACACAGACACATAGAGACGTTCAAACACAGACAGATGTACAGACACACACAGACACATAGAGACGTTCAAACACAGATGTACAGACACACACAAACATAGAGACGTTCAAACACAGACAGATGTGCAGACACACACAGACACCTAGAGACGTTCAAACACAGATAGATGTACAGACACACACAGACACATAGAGACGTTCAGACACAGACCAATGTACAGACACACACAGACACATAGAGACGTTCAGACACAGATGTACAGACACACACAGACACATAGAGACGTTCAAACACCGACATGTACAGACCCACACAGACACATAGAGACGTTCAAACAAGACAGACGTACAGACACACACAGACACATAGACACGTTCAAACACAGACAGATGTACAGACACACACAGACACATAGAGACGTCATACACAGATGTACAGACACACACAGACACATAGAGACGTTCAAACACAGACAGATGTGCAGACACACATAGACACCTAGAGACGTTCAAACACAGACAAATGTACAGACACACACAGACACATTGAGACGTTCAGACACAGACAGATGTACAGACACACACAGACACATTGGGACGTTCAGACACAGACAGATGTACAGACACACACAGACACATAGAGACGTTCAGACACAGATGTACAGACAAACACAGACACATAGAGACGTTCAGACACAGATGTGCAGACACATACAGACACATAGAGACATTTAGATACAGACACATGTACAGACACACACAGACACATAGAGACGTTCAATCAAGACAGATGTACAGACACACACAGACACAGAGACGTTCAAACACAGACAGATGTACAGACATACACAGACACATAGAGGCGTTCAGACACAGCCGTACAGACACACACAGACACATAGAGACGTTCAGACACAAGACAGATGTACAGACACACACAGACACATAGAGACGTTCAGACACAGACAGATGTACAAACACACACAGACACACAGAGACGTTCAGACACAGATGTTCAGACACACACAGACACATAGAGACGTTCAGACACAGCCGTACAGACACACACAGACACATAGGGACGTTCAGACACAAGGCAGATGTGCAGACAATCTCCACGAGCCCCGAGAGACCCCAGAGCCACACGGGGACTGTGCTCCACCAGCACGGTGTGGAGTCGCTGAGCTCTGGTGCGGTGTCCACAGCCCGTATTACTGACAAGTCAAACCACCTCGGGTTACCTACACTCGCTTGTGAAGAATTGATCCTCCACCTCACCGGTCAGCTGAAGCAAATGCATGTATTTGCGCGTCGTGAAACGCTCGTAGGCCACGCCACCAGTTGTTTGGCTGTGTCAGACGGCGTGAGGGCCTTTTACGGGGCATATTTGATCAGACCGTCGTGGGTCGGTCACGACGCCTCGTCCCTGCGCTGCGCCGCTTGCTCTTTAACCGCGTGCGTGCGTGTCAGCGTGTGGTCGCGCGAGCGGCCAGTGATGAGGTCACCTCGTCGGTCAGCTGTTCGGCCTGCTGCTGCATGCCCTCCAGCTCGGTGCGCATGTCTTCCTCGGCCATCGTGACGCTTGCCAACTAGGCGGCCTCGAACGAAGAGCGCGGGGTGGGGGGGGGCGCGGCGTGGCCGTGGGGATCCCTGTGGTCTGCGGACAGCGGGGGCACGGGAGGAGGACACGCGGAGAGGCTGGTAGCGAAGCAGCATTGGGCACGGCGGAGAGGCTCGCCGCACTTGATTTAATGCAGCGTCAAGCGGCCTGCTTGATTGATGATACGGTACGGAACAGTGATTCTGTCATTCGCTCAACGGTTGCCGGGCGCCTCCTCATCACTACCTTTGTTGCTCTTCCCATGCACTTGGCTCGTTGATTCCTCCACCAACGTGGAGGAGGACTCGGTCTACCGCACACTTCATTCTAGATTTGAAGTTTTCGTGACTGCAAGGATCAATATTCTTTGGTTCTTTCGGTAAAGTCACGTAGGTGGAAAAAATAAAAAAATAAAATAAATTAAATCACGACGTTTCGATTGCAACATAAGCAATCATCATCAGGTGTGACAACCACAGCAAGAAACATTTTTTACTACCACACACTGTTTGGTCTCATCCATACCACGGATCACATTACAAAGACAAATATCCCCCCGTGCCGCCTGAACAGACCCGTGGCGAGCAAGTGCTGTGAGCGAGCACCTAGGCTGGCACGGCCCACGACGGGGTGGGTGGCCAGCACCACGCTCGACCCTCTCTGTCGCCCCAGTGATGAGATTTACACACCCCATCAAGTACTCATTGGAGGCTGAGTCGACGTAGGGGAGGCCCTGGACCGGTTCAGATAATTACCATTGGTGTTAGCCTTGAGCGGGAATCGAACTCGGGTCACCGAGTTCATAGTGCGGTGTGTTAACTGGTCCGGGCAGTGTCACTCACCTACTCACTCACCCACTCACTCACTCACCCACTCACTCACCCACTCACTCACCACGACACCACTTCCTGCTTCTTTCATCGCATTGCTCGACTGTGGAATTCCCTCCTCCTCACCCATCGTCGCTTCCCCCCCTCCCCAAGCTCTTCGAATACACATTCTTGCCCAATTCAAGACACGTGCCAATGCTCCCCGATAACAACATTAACCGTGCTGTTTGTTGCTGGCCGCTATTCGTTTCGGTCCTGTGCTCAGCAAAATAAAACTACGGCCCGCTCCCCACAGATGATGCAATGACGACGCCTGCTGCTGCTGCTGCTGCCACAATGTGAGACACAAAGTCAGCACGGACACAAAGTCATCACGGACACAAAGTCATCAGGGACACAAAGCCAGCGGGGACACAAAGTCAGCACGGACACAAAGTCATCACGGACACAAAGTGAGCACGGACACAAAGTCAGCACGGACACAAAGTCAGCACGGACACAAAGTCAGCACGGACACAAAGTGAGCAAGGACACAAATCCAGCAGGGACACAAATCCAGCAGGGACAATATGTGAGCAGGGACACAAAGTGAGGAGGGACACTAAGCCAGGTCACAGTATCACCCGATACTGAACACGACTTCGCTTGAACACTCAGTGCTGCCTGGAGGAGGAGTGCGTGAACAGTTGAAGCAGTGCAATGCGTGCGTGAGACGACCAGTGAATTCCGAGTGGCGTGCCGCTGATATTTCATCCGCAGGGATAATGGATTGTGGGGATGAAGGAAGGGGCGGGGGGGGGGTTAATGGGAGAGAGAAAGAGAGATCGAGGCTACGTGGTGCAGTTTGGACACTGAGGATTATCTTGCCGTGGAGAGGGAGGTGTGGGGAGACCTGGTGGCAATGAATCAAACCAAATCAACCACGAGCCCGGCGTCTGCCCGGACAGGTTTTGTGACGAGAGTCGGGAGACGGCGCTGTCCGTCCGCCTTGAAGGGAATCGGGCCCAGCGGGGCTAGCGGGGGGAGTCCATGCTGCGTGAAGAGGACCACAGCCGAGGTTCGGGCCCAGAGCCCCGTGGACTCCGCAAACGAGAACCGTGCAGGTGCCACGCGGGTTCATCACTAGTGATGAAGATGCATTGGTTGTGGGGAGCGACGTTCGGTGTGAAGATGTATTTTCCAGTCGCTTCGCTGCCATTTGATTCCACGTGAAATGGGAGCTACTCGATAGTCGATCCAATAACGGATCGAGTGCGTGAGGTCATTCAGCTTGGGCCCCGCAGGCGACCGAGCAGATTCCATCAATCAGCATCTGCACAGCTACACACTGACACAGCTACACACGGACACAGCCACTACACACTGACACAGCTACATGCTGACACAGCTACTACACACTGACACAGCTACACACTGACACGGCTACACGCTGACACGGCTACACGCTGACAGGGCTAGATACTGACACAGCTACTACACACTGACACAGCTACACACTGACACAGCTACACGCTGACACAGCTACTACACACTGACAGAGCTACTACACACTGACACGGCTACTCGCTGACACAGCTACTGAACACTGACACAGCTACTACACACTGACACAGCTACACTGACACAGCTACTACACACTGACACAGCTACACACTGACACAGCTACACGCTGACACGGCTACACGCTGACAGGGCTAGAAACTGACACAGCTACTACAAACTGACACAGCTACACACTGACACGGCTACACACTAACATGGTTACACGCTGACACAGCTACACACTGACACAGTGACACACTGACACGGCTACACGCTGACACAGCTACACGCTGACACGGCTACACACGGACAAAGCTACTACACAATGACACAGCTACTACACACTGACACAGCTACACACTGACACGGCTACACGCTGATAGGGCTAGACACTGACACAGCTACTAAACACTGACATAGCTACGCACTGACACAGCTACACACTGACACGGCTACAGGCTGACACAGCTACTCGCTGACACAGCTACTACACACTGGCACAGCTACTACACCCTGACACAGCTACACACTGACACAGCTACACACTGACACAGCTACTACACACTGACACAGCTACTACCCCCTGACACAGCTACTACACACTGACACAGCTACTACACACTGACACAGCTACTACACGCTGACACAGCTAGACACTGACACAGCTACTACACACTGACACAGCTACTACACCCTGACACAGCTACACACTGACACAGCTTCTACACACTGACACAGCTACTACACCCTGACACAGCTACTACACACTGACACAGCTACACACTGACACAGCTACTACACGCTGACACAGCTACACGCTGACACAGCTACTACACACTGACACAGCTACTACACACTGACAGAGCTACTACACCCTGACACAGCTACACACAGACACAGCTACACACTGACACAGTTACTACACGCTGACATAGCTACACGCTGACACAGCTAAACACTGACACAGATACTACACGCTGACACAGCTACACGCTGACACAGCTACACGCTGACACAGCTACTACACCCTGACACAGATACACACTGACACAGCTACACACTGACACAGCTACTACACGCTGACACAGCTACACACTGACACAGCTACACACTGACACAGCTACTACACACTAACACAGCTACACACTGACACAGCTACTACACGCTGACACAGCTACACGCTGACACAGCTACTACACACTGACATGGCTACACGCTGACACAGCTACTACACACTGACACAGCTACACACTGACACAGCTACACGCTGACACGGCTACACACTGACACGGCTACACACTGACACAGCTACACACTAACACAGTTACTACACACTGACACGGCTACACGCTAACACAGCTACACGCTGACACGGCTACACACTGACACGGCTACACACTAACACAGTGACACACTGACACGGCTACACGCTGACACGGCTACACGCTGACATGGCAACACGCTGACACGGCTACACACTGACACGGCTACACACTGACACAGCTACTACACACTGACACGGCTACACGCTAACACAGCTACACACTAACACAGTGACACACTGACACGGCTACACGCTGACACGGCTACACGCTGACACGGCTACTACAAGCTGACACGGCTACTACACACTGACACAGCTACACGCTGACACGGCTACACACTGACACAGCTACTACACACTGACACAGCTACACGCTGACACAGCTACTACACACTGACACAGCTACTACACACTGACACGGCTACACGCTGACATGGCTACACGCCGACACAGCTACTACACACTGACACAGCTACACACTGACACAGTTACTACACCCTAACACAGCTACACACTGACACAGCTACTACACGCTGACACAGCTACACGCTGACACAGCTACTGCACACTGACACGGCTACACGCTGACACAGCTACTACACACTGACACGGCTACACGCTGACACAGCTACACGCTGACACGGCTACATGCTGACACGGCTACACACTGACACGGTGACTCACTGACACGGCTACACACTGACACAGCTACACGCTGACACAGCTACTACACACTGACACTGCTACACGCTGACACAGCTACTACACGATGACACGGCTATACGCTGACACGGCTACACGCTGACACAGCTACTACACACTGACACGTCTACACACTGACACGGCTACACAGACACAGCTACTACACGCTGACACGGCTACACGCTGACACGGCTACACCACACTGACACGGCTACACCACACTGACACGGCTACACACTGACACAGCTACACACTGTCTCAGCTACACGCTGACACAGCTACACGCTGACACAGCTAACCACTGACACAGCTACACGCTGACACGGCTACACGCTGACACGGCTACACACTGACACGGTTACACGCTGACACGGCTACACACTGACACAGCTACACGCTGACACAGCTAGACACTGACATGGCTACACACTGTCTCAGCTACACGCTGACACAGCTACACACTGACACGGCTACACCACACTGACACGGCTACACCACACTGACACGGCTACACGCTGACACAGCAGCACACTGACATAGCTACACACTGTCTCAGCTACACACTGACACAGCTACACGCTGACACAGCTAGACACTGACACGGCTACACACTGACATGGCTACACGCTGACACGGCTACACGCTGACACTGCTACACA